TCCAGTGAAATATATTTATGTTTGTGGTTGTAATGTGACAAAATATGGAAAAGTTCAAGGGGTATGAATACTTTTGCAAACCACTGTAGTTATTTAACTGATCTCGTCTTTTATAAGCCTAAAAAAAAAAGAGCACTGAGATCCTGCAACCAGATGTTCTTACTGCAGCTGAGAGCTAAATCAGAGTGCAAAGGGGATTGGGCCCCCTGGGCTCTGAATCAATCCACCCCTTGATATTCATTCTAAAGATTTTATAGCCTYTTAAATCCTGCCTGAAACTGACTTTTTTATACTCAAGTTCAGTTTGAGTTCCATCATAGGTTTAAGGTTGTCGTATTTCCTTGTTTCAGTTTGTTTTTAGCTTGTTTTTATAATACTTTATACATACTTTTAGATAGGTTTTATTTGTGATTTATTTTATTTTACTTCATTTTACTGATGTTCTTGTTCTTGTGAAGGACTTTGGTCAATGTCATTGTTTTTAAAATGGGCTATTTAAATACAATTGACACTGACATTAGATATGACCATAACCTCTCCATTTTCAGCAAATTGATTTGCTTTCTGTCAACAGTTCGACAGGTGTCTGTAATGATTACTTTGTTTCTTTAGTTTTCAGATCGCATCTAACCTCTCCATGGAATGTTACGCTTTAACATTTGGGATCAACACTTTCATAGCCCTCTCACTGCAGACCATCGTTACATTCATTGTAGTGGATGAAGCTGCTCTGGGACTGGATATTGTGACACAAGTATGTGTCCTTTCGTTGCTTCATGGGGTACACTTTTTAACTGCAGTGCAGTGAGAATAAACACTGGTGAAAAGACAAAAGTCTAGTTTAAAAGAAAGCACAGAATACTGAAATGTGAGAACAGTGACACCTGCTGGTATTTCTCAACTGTTACATGCAGTTCAATTCATGATATGAAAACTGCACTACATTTGACTAAAACATGTTTATTTGTCTATAGTTCCTCGTATATGGAAGTTACTACGCTGCCATCTCACTTCTCTTTCTGATACGAGGAACCTACACCGCCTGTGTTCAACAGTGCCGTCCTGATACGTCAGAGCCCAAACAACCAGGGACTGGTGGAGAGGTGATCTCTGCTGAACGTTTCTGACAAGCATCAATAAAAATAATCATGCATAAACAAGCATTACTGGCTTTTAATTACTGATTTACCTGTGCATAATTTTGTAACTCATCTTATTTCTACACAGGAGAAGTCAAACAGAACAGTAAAACTATTTCCAATAAGAATTAAAGATTAATCACAGGAATTTTCACAAACGCTGAGAAACTTGATGCTCTTTGACCCGGCTGCTGATTGGCCAAGACTAAAGGCTGCTCTCTAAGAATATACACACACACACACACACACACACACACACATACACATACACGTCAGAAACAAACAAGAACATGGAGGTTCTGAAGAGGTGGAAGTCAGATTGGAGCTATCCCACCACTCTGCTCTGCATTTATGGATTTTTTAGCACCGTTAAGCCGCTGGAGCCTTTTCTCACACCATATCTGACAGGACCAGACAAGAATCTAACAACTGAACAGGTACAAAAACTAACAGCAGAGACTCAGGAATTCTAGCAAACTATCAATTACTTATTTTATACTTTAAAAATGTATGGCTGAGTGAACAAAGTATTACGGTTGGTTAAGTTAGTTGCTTAAACTAAAACCGAAACTTTTTATGGTAAATCATTAATAACAAATGGATTGTTAGATAAGCCAAAGTGAAGGTGGTGAACAACAAGAAAATAATGTGCGATTTCAACAAAACAACCATAACGAAATCATAATTTGCACCATAACATTTTATAATATATTAGTAATTATTTTTCTCTGTATACAGCACAATCAAGATGAAACAAAATGTTACATCCAATCATAATGTGGAACGTTAAAGAGACTGACAAAAAAAAAAAAAAAACAGTGAGAGATGTGGCTCAGAATCAGTTTAAATTTGCATCAATTCTTGTAGCACAAAGAGGATTTTGTATAAGTATTGAAGATTACATGAAGGACTCTCGAACTTTTAGGATGACACAGAATCATAAATATCAGATTGGTCAAATCAGCAGTTTGGTCTCTGTAATTAATTTATGGCTAATTACAAAGCATTTTCCTGGAAGTCCAGATAAGACTTTTACTACAAAGTACCTGTAGATTAATAGATAAAAGATCAGCTACACGAAACTAAATTTATCAAAATGGTATAAAAAAATTATTTTGTTTGACAAAGTATGCTACACCTGAGGTGGTGTTCAGACATAACAATATGTGTGCTATGGCTACAAATAAAACAATTATTTTTATTGATGTGAGGACTACCAGGGGCTACATTAATTCCATAACGTACAAAGTAACATTTTGTCTTACATCACCTAATAGTAAATAAATACATTATACTGCTGAAAATTGAAGTTAAAACAAAAAATATAAGATTCATCAAGTAAAGGTGGTTGCAGAAAAATCAAGTGCCAATTTTCCCTGAAGGAACCCCTCTTTGATGCCGGTTTCAGACCCGACCCAGTTATATTAAGTTTGGACAATTTTTGAAAATAAGTTATTCACAGCGTCATAGAATATCACACTCAAAGTTTTTGTTCTAAATGATTTTGTTACAACTACACATGCATATAATTTATTTTAATGCAATATTTGTAAATTTGACAGTTATTTTTCTGTTTTCTAATTTGTCTGTTTCAGCCAATAGAGTTTCAGTAGATTTTGTCTAGTGTTTCATGAGATATTTTGCTAATGATGGACACAAAACCTTGTGAACTGACGTTCACTTTTCACAGGAAGGCAATAGAAAATCTGGCAAAGCACTTTCGAAAAAAATAGCTCCATTTTGGATATCAAAATATTAACTGTTAAAATTATTTTACAGTTGACTAATAAGAATTTGGATTCAAGTTAAAACAAATCAAAATTTATGCAAGGTATTTTGTGCAACAACTCTAAAATCTGTGTAAACATCCACAAACAACCTAAGAAATTATTACAACATTTTGCCTATTAATCTTGAGTTAAAGCTAAAAGTCAAGTGGTTCTTGGTTTACTTAAAAACCCATCTGATACACACTCAGAGATTTAATCTCAAAAATAGTGTCCACACGCCGAAAAGAAGTGATTTTAAACATCACGGTAACAATGTGTCTGTGTCAGGTCAACAACCAGATCTTCCCTGTGTGGACGTACTCCTACCTGGGAGTCTTGGTGCCGGTGTTCCTGCTCACTGATTGGCTGCGATACAAGCCCGTGGTGGTCTTCCAGGGTGTGATGCTCTTCGTCACCACAGCACTGATGAGGTGGACAGCAAGCGTTCCAGCCATGCAGGTCATGCAGTTCTTCTACGGGGTGGTGACAGCCAGCGAGGTGGCCTACTTTTCCTACATCTACAGGTCATGGAGTGCAGCTAAAAAATCATGTCAAAAGATCAAATTAACAGTTGGAACAGACCTAACAGACTGGACATTTTTCATTACAGTGTTGTGGATTTGAAAAGATACCGGAAGGCCACGTCTTACAGCCGAAGTGTTCAGCTGCTGGGATTCACGATAGGCTCAGTGTTGGGTCAGCTGATTGTCAGCTTTAATCTCATGTCCTACAACAACATGGTGATCTTTACTTTAGTTCTCACGGCCATTGCCCTCTTCACCTCCTGTTTTCTGCCAATGCCTCAGAGGAGTATGTTCTTCCACCGAAAACACCCTAGAGAAGCTCAGTCAGTGGAAGGGGTGAAGGGAACGGTGGAGGCAGAACAAAGATCTGGATCCCTGGATGAAATGCGGGGTGAAAATGTGCAGAAAGTAGAGACTAAAGATGCAGAAGAAGATGAGGGGGAGTCTGACGGTGCCAAGAGCTGCAGTCAGGTCATCCTCCAGCTGTGGAGGGACTTCAGACAGTGTTATTCCTCCAGACAGCTGCTCTACTGGTCACTGTGGTGGGCGATGGCCACATGTGGATACAACCAAACTGTCAACTATGTGCAGGTCGGTGTTGAAGGCAAGACAAAATGAAAATTTAAAGGGGAAATATCATGTTAAATCAACTTTTTGAGTTTTATATCATGTTATAATATTATACTCTCATAACTCTCATAAAAAGCGTGCTTTGACTCATTCATGCATGTTTGAGATATCCTGCAGCGTTTTTAGGCAGCCATGCTGAGGAGTAAAATGACAGGTG